GCATTTTGTGGTGCTTCACATTGATGGTTATAAAAAGGAATTTATTCCGCTGGAGGTGAGGAGAATACCACAATGGAGGAGGAGGTTGCTTCTTTTAGGGAAGGGAGAAAGGCCAGCAGCTGAAGACAAGTGCACAGATTTCAGTTTAGATGCACAGTGTAATGCACTGAGAATGGGGCTTATAAGGGTTAACATTGTGCTTCCATTTCATATGACATCTGTTATCAGAAAACAGTGACCAACTCGCCCCATTCTTTATTTAGGAATGCCATTTTTTTCAGCATCCATTATGGGACAGCAGAATGTACACAGAAAATAAAAGTACAGAAAAATTGGAAACCCTGGAGGACAACATGCTCAGATTTACCTCAGGACACAAAGAGATTTCTTTCACATCAGAAGTATGATACTGTACCCTACCCTGGCAAAGGGATGTACTGTGATCTAAAAGGTCTCTTCCCTTGCTAACTGCTGCACTGATATTAAAATCATCATGTAAATTAGAAAGACAGAATCTCTCTTATTCATAGGAGAGATTCTGTTCATCTAATGTAGCATACTGGTGATGTTTTGGGTAAAGGGATACATTAATAAGAAAGGCATTTTGTTAGGAAGTATTGAAGTTGCAACTTAATTCCTGAACCAATCTGTTAAAGGAAATAACTACCTTAACTAAAGTACATTTTCCTTTTATGCCCGCTTAATTTCTACTTTAAACTTTCCACTCGTACTCTAAGCTCTACCAGTGAATTTAAATGGGGATTCACTATATGTTTAGTGCATTCAAGAATTCTTTGTTACAGTTCCCACCCTGCTGCATTATGTGAGCTCTGCCACGGAAGTCCAGCAGTCGGTTTGTTTTCTGCTATTAATAAAAGAAGCTACTTTTTTCCACGTCTTTGAAGAAGTTGAAAGGGCTACATGTTAGAGGGGGAGGTGGTGGGGAACAGATTGTGGTGTAATCCCCAAACGCAAATGCTGTCTAGATTAGAAACCTCCCTGAAGAAAATTTACAAATGCTAAGACTGTGCTTTTTGTGTGAGGAACACTAGAGCAATAACTTAGCCACATACTGGGTTTTGCCTACTGCTTAGGGAGCCTACTAGGTGAAAGGAATTAAATGAAGGGGGAAAAATCTTCCAGTTGGGTCTTTGTTCTGATGCCATCCATTCCTTTCAGTATCCAGTGACTTACCAGTAGAACTATTTTGATATGTAGTTCATCACTGAAGTATTCTAATATAATTCTGAGGGAATCTATTAAAGTAAAACCCACCAAATGGGATTTACCCATTGTCAGTATTTTTACAGAGTCCAGGAAAAGCTCATTTAAAAGGGTGCGACATTTTACATTGTTTTCCCTTCACACCTCATCATGCACAAGGAAAAACTATTCAGCAAAACTATATTAATTTCTTTTGCTACTTAAAAATAAATAAATAAGAAGCAAATGATTACCGCAAAGAATGATAGCCCTGTTACAATCACTAATGGGCAGAAGTAAAACCCAAAATCTGTTTTTTTCCCCACAGGATACTTGTATTCTTCTAACCATCATTATTGTATCTACTTTATCACACAATTACAAACTAATCCTTAATTCCGAAACAAGCAGGAACAAGAAAATGAAGATGCCAATGCAGATAGTCTATGAGAGAAACTTCAGTGCATAATCAACTATATGATTTTTAAATCCCACTTATATCAGGTTAAAAATTCTTATGCACATAACATAGTTTTGTCACTGTTGATTTAAGGAATCTTATATTCACTTAAACTCAATTGCCTCCATATTCCACCTGTTACCAGGCCACTGTAAGTAAAAAGTAGCTTTACATACAACTTAATATTACTAGATTAATGTATTTCATCTGATAAGGATGAATCTAGTGTTACGGAGGGCTAGAAAGATGCAGCATTCAATGAAAACTGAAGATGCCTCATTGTAAGTAACAAATGATGAAAGATATTACCAAGGGGATGTCTCCCACAGATACCCTGTTTAGACAAAGGGACTTTAAATGAACCTACACAGCAAAATTAATGTAGTCCCAATATTTATCTGATGCTTGAGTGATACAATTTACTTGTCAATTGTTTATGGGATCCTATCTTTTGAATGTAAATTTGCTTTTTTCTAACAATGTTTGTAAGGTCAAGGGGTTTTATATATAACATTGACTTTGGAAAGTTGGTCTCTTTTCTGGGTTGCAGATGGAAATAGCTGCATTTCAGGGCTAAATTAAGTACCCAGTCAGGAACGGAGTATAGTCAACATATGGACAAATCAAAATGATGGCTACATTTACTGCCTACAGATATTTTTGTTGCACTGCATCTTAAAGTGATGAAAAAAGCTGTGAGTTAGCGAACCATTGATGTGCCGATTTTCATTACCCATGTAAATGGATAACATCTTCTGTCAAACTTCATTGATATATTTCATCAGATGAATAGGAATATGCCCTGAAATGTAATAATTGTAGATTCTTGTGATACAGTTTAAGGTAGACTATCCTTTCCTCCAATTCCAACAGTAATTAACCTGGACTGCAATTCCCCAGACTCATGTAGCATTCTTCTAGACAATATTAATGGAACCTAAAGTTTATAAGGTTTGGAAAGGAATCCTGACTGGTAGATTTAACACTATATATACAAAGGTATTAAGGACTTTCAGGTTAATGAATGGTACTGATCAACTCACACTTGGCATGAGCCATAAACACATTTTATTTTGGTATAACATGAAAAGTGTTGTCTTTGTTGAAACTGAAAATGCTTAAAAATGACATTCTGGAAAATGTGTGTCCCCCCTATTAAGATTAAAAGTGAAAATATACGATTATCATGATAATAACCCAATTGTACATGGCAGACAAAAGAAAAGCTAATACTTCCCCTTGCTTTTTGACTGATGTTTTTGTTGGGCTCCAGCTAAACAGCACTTTAAGTTGACAGTAAATTAGCAAACAATATGAAGGAAAAGGGGAGGAAGGAGGAAAATCATGCAGGGGTTAAGATGTTTATGTAAAACAGTGATTTTCCTTTTTAAAATTAAAACGTACAAATAAGCTGGTGTCAGGGGCTAGGTGATCCTTCATTTCCACCGCATTGAGCAGGCTCACATCAGCAGCAGACAGCCGTTAATATATGCGTCTGGCTCAGTCTGGTCTACCAACTAGGAATTCATCGAATTGTTAATATCACTCCTTTTTTGTATGCATCACACATCATTTTCTCTCTCTCTCTATGTTGCTAGAGGGTTTTTTTTTTTAAAGCTGTAGCATGAGCTGATTACCCAAAATCACATATTATATAGCATTTAGAAAATATTATACTGCAACAGAAAAGGTAACAGACACATGAATGAATACACATTTATATATATATATATCATATATATATATATATATATATGTATATAATGTGTATGTGTGTGTATACATTTTTGATATATAAATCATAAGCACAAAAGATCTGTTTGCTGCCAAGCAGCTAATAAAGAGAAGTAATACATGCTGCCAAAGTATAAATAAGACTGCATTCTATAGGCTGTCTGTGGGCTTGATCGTGCAGTCTGGACATAGGCAAAAAGTCTCACTGACCTCAATGGATGTTTTGCCTGAGTTAAAGACTGGGCTATATATTTTTATGAAGGCTTTAACATGTGCCAGTTCTTAGTTTGGCATTGTTTGAATAGGAAAAAAGGCTTAGTGTGCTCCAACTTTTTCTCCCTTTTCCAAGGGCCAGTGGTGAATAGGGTGGGTATAGAATACCAACTATACTATCAGAGTTCAAGCAATTACTGCAGACCCAGTATTCTGCCCCCTTCACTGGATTCATGTTTTTGGTGTAACACTAAATAAGCCACACAGGGTTATTTTCTGGATTAATTTGATCACCACTGTCATTTACAGAAAATATTTGGAATCTGTGTGATATTAGTTCATGACTGAGACAGGTGAAAAATGCAGCATCTAATGTCTTTTTTTTACACTTAAGGATAATTGTAAAATGAATCACAGACATGGACAAATTAGATATGAACTAATCACATTCAAGAAAATTGTGCTTATACATAAATACACTACAGATCCCTCATGTATACATATACGTGCATTATTTATCTGATAAATGAAGCATAATCAGGATTTGTACTTTGGAAAATGTTATGCATATTTTAAATACCATAGTTGTTATATATCAGCATGTCTATACTACCCACAATATATTTAGATCTCACTATATAGTTTATCAGGGCAGAATACCTGTTCACCTGATCAACACCTTTAATATTGTCTTTAAAACAAGTCAGAGAATCTATTATGTATAATAAAGTCAATTGCTACCGAAGTGCCTCATCAGTGCATCACCCTGGTTTGATATTTTAGTTTTGCGTACTCAGATTTAGATCTACTCCTCTCAGATTACATAAATAGAAACCATCATAGGTCAATACACCTTTCTTTAAAAGAATTACTAGTACATCTAGGATGGATCAAATGTTTCCATGTAACTCTTGCGTGTTCTGAGCATGCAAGATTGATGGCTTTATGAAGAAAACAATTTCATCATTATTAGAAACTATGTCATCTTTGGGATAGGTAAGAAATTTTTTTTAAAGTAAAGCTTTAACTGTAGTTTTAGTGACTTGATTGAAAACTATACAAAGTGTGGTTTGTTTTGTAAGAAAATAGGACAACAAAACCTTGAATTATTCTGTTTAATAATAATTTATTTTAACAATAGCATTACAATAAAACACAATTCCTCCCACATACGTGGAAAAAATAAACTGGAGCCAAAATATCAGTTTCAAAATGACCAAATTGTTTAGATGCTTGCCCTAAGTAAAGCCTTTGTTTCAATCAGTGAAGTGTGACATTAGTACACTATTAACAGGGTGCTTCACCATCTGGGTTAGATACAGGAAACTGAAACAAAAATTAATCAGGACCAAACTACTTATAAAATATTAAGAAATACAGTCAAATTTTCTGTGTTCTGGTTCAGCACTTTAGGAGTGATAGACATTACAATGTAGCTGTGTCCTGGTAAATCTTATGCTGAAGTCATTGAAGTATTCAGCATATGGGGACAACACAACAGTTAGTCTGTTGTATAAGTGAAAAGTAAAAAGTGAGGGAAGAGACTAAAGTTTGAGCCTAATTCCTGGTGTCCGGTCTTCTCTGCTGGGATACAGTAAGTAGATGAAAAGTATGTAGTTCTGTGTGCAAAGTGACTTCAACACAGCATTATGAGTTTGACACCAGCTTTCTCTTTTCTTTCAGAGTAAGGGGTTAATATACCAAATGAGAACCTGTATTGTATTATTATATAGACTGAGAGAAATAGTAACAACTATAAAGGAATCTCTGCACTGCCTTACAGGAAAAGAAGCAACAGTTTTCTTGCACGCTCAGATTATTACCCCAAAGACAACAGTATGAATGCATTTGCTAGGCCTCACAGATCAATGTATAATTTGTAAAGTTTCAAAAAGTTCATTAAATATTATAGCAATACATTTGGAAATGTGTTTTGTCTTATTATCCACCAGAAGGATCCATAATAGCAAATTATGGTTGAAAACAGTGCATTTATCCTTCAGTACTTGATTTTTTTATGTAGATATCTGTCATTCATTTTAAATTTTAATTCGAAATGTTACATGTTATCCACTACAATATAGGTTTCCAAACATACAAATTATGTAGAATCTTTATATTGTACAATACATAGCAGCAATTTTTTTGTAGCATAACACTAATGCTTAACATCTGAAATAAATATTTTCCCCCAGATAAAAAAATCTCCTTTGGTTCTGTTAATATTGCAGATAAACAATCAATAAAGTCCAAAGCTGCTGGTTCCCCTCCGCCTAGGTCCCAAGAGCCTGACTTGTGATTGTTGCTAAAAAACCTCACAAGTTAGGGTCTCAGGGACTAGGAAAAGTCCGATATGATCCAGTAGAATTCTTCTTCAAATAATCTGAATCACTTAGTCGTCAAGATTACATTCAGTAAAACTTTTGTTGCTGTTTTATAAAAAACCCACCTTTTCAAGTAGGGGTTGGAAAAGATCAAATAAGTAGGCAATATACACACATACATTCAAAACAATAATATCAGCTGATTGATCAAGACACTTCTTAGAATAGATTCCACAACTTTGGAAAAAAGGAGTACAAATAAAATCTTTACTATTCTGACTCATGAGTAGCCATAGTACAATACATCAGAAGGATAAGTCTATAAATGGGTTAAAGTCTGCTTGCAGCAGATTTGAACAGTAAATGTTTTATTCTATTTCCTCTAATGCCTTAAAGAAGGATTAAATGCTTGTTAATGGGTTTCTAATTGAAATATTTCCCCATTATACCTCTACAGTAAGGTGGGCCCTAGGATATACAGCACTTTAAACCCATCCTCAGTGCAAGGATAACTTTCGGGCATCAACATTTAATCCCATTACAGGCTCATATTAACAGCTTCTTCTTTTCCAAACTCAAAACTATCTTTCACTCCTTAAACTGTAGACATTATTGACATGCAAAGATTGTTGTTATTTGAGTCAAGTCACTTGAACCTCCTACAACTTTTAAACATTGTTGATAGAGTAAGAAAACGGATCATATTTCCCAAATCATTTTGTTCTGAAGCTGAAAACTTTTAATGGCACGACCGCAATCCTGAATTAGATTCACATTCATTCTCCTCCAATCTTTAGCCTTGCTTGCGGGATGGAAAAGAACATTTCTACTTTAGGGATGGATCCACGATGTTTTTTCAGAACCCAGAGCAAAAGAATCAGTGGCCATAAAGGTCCTGGCCACTGAAGTAGAATCTGGTATAGAAAATTCAGTGCTCTTCAGGAAGCGGTTCAGCTTTAAAGGGAAAAAGAGAAGAAGGGGGGGAAAGAATTAGAATATATGCTAGTAGAACAGGTGAATCATCCATTTACAAGTAAGCTGTACAGAAAGCTATGCTGAAGAAAATATTTGCTAACTGCCTTACTACCCTCTTGCCCTCCCTCACTCTTCTCTCCAAATGTTACCTCAGATTTCAATACATCTTGGATTACTTTAAATATTTTGGTCAGTGATATAATGCAACATTATATAGGAGCTTTTCTTTGTCATTTGGTATGCTCTATTCAATCAGTTATGCCTTAGACACTAACTAGTTAAATGAAACAATAAAAAAAAAAAATCCAAGCATTCCCTAGATTTCATTCCATGCTTTTTTAAAAAAAACTGAGCATGGTTTTCCAAGCAATTTTTGACCACGGCTTTCAAACCAATAATTAGAATGAAAAATCTCTCCCCTCTATAAATATGACATTAACATAATTACACCACCCCCATCACATAGACCCATCCTCCTTAGGGAATACATCTGATGCTCTGAAGATGGAAATCAGTCAGTTTTTAGTTGCTCTCAAACGTACCTTTGCTTCTCACTGACTGACTCGCTTTTACCTTCCACGCACACGCACACAGCCACAGACACACACACACACACATACACACAGACACACACATGCACGCACACACAGACACACACAAAAAGGCAAGGCAAAGCAGCGGATGCTGACTCAGAGCGGTTGTGTGTGGAGGGGGTGGTATCGGCTGGTATTTTCACTGCACTCATCATTAACATTAACTCACTGTCTAGCATCCACCCTCTCTCAGACCTGCTGGACTGCAGCATTTGCATGACGCTGTCACTCTAGCCCTTGCAGGTCAGATGTTGGAAGGATAAAAAAAAAAAAGCCTCAAGGCTCTCATAAGAAATGCCTTCATTTCTTCCAAAGGGTCCCTCTTCTTATTTTTCCACCTTTCTACTTCCTCTGTTGCTGTGTCTCAGTTGTTTGACATCTTTCCGGAAGAAAATGTCTTGAGCTGCAATAAGCCAGTAGTCAGTCGGTCCTCCCCTCACCTCACACTCCTATTCCCTCCCCCTTTTTCTCCTAATCAATAAGACGGATCTCCAAATGCAGTTGTGAAAACAGGCTCTGACACACAGACTTTCATCCTCGATCCTCTGCCTCAGGAATAGCAGGCAACCCAGGCTCACACGTGATGTAGGGAGAAATAATGCCAGCAATTCTTTAACAGTCTTAGAGTTCATTCTACGCCTTCTTCATTTTTTTCCTTTGCTTGAATAAATATTGATGCAAAGGACATAAGCTGCTGGGATCCAGAATTTTCTCCTATTTTTTGTTGAATAATGAAAATGAAAATTTCTAATTTTAATGTGAATCCAAATGATTGCTTTTTTAAAACTAGTTGTACTCTCACTTGGTAAGAATTATATTATTTTAGCCAAATCATTGCCAAGATCTGAATCACCAATACGGTGTTGAAATCATAAATTGCTGGATTTAAATCAATGCCTCACAAGACATTAGTCATTCTTTATTTTAGACCTCCTTATACAAAATAGCGTGTGTGTGTGTGTGTGTGTGTGTGTGTGTGTGTGTGTGTGTGTGAGAGAGAGAGAGAGACACAGAGAGAGAGAGAGAGAGAGAGAGAACAGAAGCAATATATACTACTCAATATACAGAATAGTGGGCATGTGAGTACTTCATAATGCATATATATTGATCTATATATTCTGTGTCGTTTATCTAGAGTATTGTGTGTGTGTGTGTATATATAGTACAGTGTATAATGTATGTATTATACATATGCACAATACCTGTAAGTTATACACACAATATAAAACAAAGCTTTGTTAGCTGAAATGCAGGCACATTTGTATTATAGACTATGAAATCCATAAAGCACAGTTACGGTGTGTGTTTTTACCTTGTTCCTTTGTTCTTAAAACAAGGTACTTTCGTGACATACAGCGTAATAAACTCACTAGCGTTTCCTTTTTACGTGAGCAATTATTTTACCAGACAATACCACTACACAGTGATTTGTAGTATAAAAATTATTTACAAAAGAGGGATGAGCAGCACACAATTCTCAAGCCAATTCTAAAAGCTGTCTGGTGCTGTAGAAATTCTCAGCTTACCCACACGGACAGATCCCAACATGCAGTGCAACACTGCAGTACCAACTAAGGTAGCAGTTTGGCAACATAACTGTGGCAGCAAACGGGAAGGGCATCCATTCGCAGAAAAGTTCCAGAGAAAACACTACAAACCCCCAGACTACAGAAAGCAAAAACATCATGGTACGAAATCTAAACCCAGCTTGTACACCAACTCATGACAAATCATCATTAATAAACCAAAAGTAGACAATTAGGAAACAGTTAAGTTTGTAATCTCAGAGAGAGGCACACACCCACAGACAGACAAAGCAAGCGAGAGAAGAACGCCAAGCATGAGACAACAAAAGCAAGACTGAAATCAGATTTGGAAAACTGAAAAAAACACAGGATTATAGCATTCAGTTTAGCATTTACTGAGGTATTAAAAAAAATTTAACACATTCACAGCATGGCTTAAAATACTTATTGCCATCAATAGTCTGTGACGGATGCCAGCTTCTTACTGCTATACGTACATTAGATTGGTCATCCCCTTTTAATCTCCATTTGCTCAGACCCATCCATTTTTTGCTGCTCCAGCATCTGTGCCCTTTATGCTTTTTTTCTGTATAGTTACCCACAATACCCTGGATAAATTAATGTCGTGACCTTGCTATGGCTATCACACGCGGGAAAACGTCTACTATTTTAATAATTGAACGTTCGTGTACAGCAAACTGCCTCCTGATAGCCCAGCTTTGTGGACAGCCTCCAAAAAGAAGCCTTTGCTAGCTCTGCAAATCAAAAACAACAGATGCAGATACTAGCCACATCTTTTGTTTTTCCTCCTCTGTCTGTGCCATCTCACACTCTCTGCCTCTGTCTCTTCAATAGTTAAAAACATTAACCTGCTCAAATTAGAAACTTTAGAGTAAAACCATGAGGACGAGTCAAAATTTTAAATGGCTGCACATTTTGTAAATTTATGTCCAGACGGTGAGTAGGGAAAGTATCCAGGTTCAAGTGCTGAGGCTTCACTTGGGAGCACCTTTGGGACCAAGGGGCACACAGACTAGATTAAATCAATAGTCGTCTGAAATGAGATGTCGTAGTCAATCAGCTCAATTACCACTGTCATAGATCTGGGCTTAAGGTCTTTCCTGATTCCACTCTTCTAATCATTAACCCTTATACAGCCTTAAATAGGAATTTATGCTTCCTGTCACCCTGCCTTCCAGATGGACCAAAGTTTAACTTAGCTTTTTTCCCTAGGCTTTAAATGGTATGGGATAAGGAGGCAGGACAGCAAAAAAATGTTTTAAGTGTGAATATGGCAAGGTTAGATGCATTTGTTTAAACATACCATTATTTATTTGCCATATATGATTACTATTATGCCTCTGGGAGTGGCTGGGTGGATCAAAGAACGCTGTTTAATTAACATTCAACTCAGCTGTTTCCTTGGAGATTACAAATACGAGAGGACTAGTTGAATTAGATGGGAGCTGTTCACCCCTTGCTACTAATCCAATATTATAGAACACTTGCCCCCACAACCTAGTTAGGGACCATACATTTCTGGTGAAGCAACCTCTAGGATAAACTATTTTTACTCCATGAATAGCTGTTAAAAAGTTTTTTATTTCAAGATACCTTTATATGCATATTGGAGTTGCACAAAATCTCCCTTGTCTTTTTACCTTTTGCATCCACAGTTTTCTCCCACGTGCAACAGCAGAAACACAGAGCTGTCAGTCTCAGCCACTGAAGCAGAGTCTTTTAGCTCTCATTTTACAATTAACATTTCCTGCTTATAGACAAAAATTCCATCAATGTAACGAGTTTTTCTTTTTGCAAATTCTGAAAAGATCAGAAAGCTTTATATCAAAAACATCTTAGCAAAAGTTGTATATCTTTCTTGTTCAAGTTTTAACACGTTGGGTGGGGGGAACCAAAACAAATCCAGAACTCCAGATTACTTAAAACTGCTATATTCCCACCAGCACACTCAAAATAATAAAATAATCCCCATTACATTCACAGTAACATCAATCTCTGTATGCATTGCTTTTGTTTCCACCCAGAACCACACCTTTTAATTGCAGGTCTGTTTTCAGTTGGAGAAGCAGGATGTGCAGCATAAGTCCATATAGCTCTACGAGTGTCATCTGACAGAATATGCTCTATACCTTAAGGTGCTGACATAGTTAAATAGAACACATTTTGGTGCTCGCTATATTTTGGGGCTGGATAGGAGGATAGGGGTGAGGCATGAGAATGGGATAGCAGCACTCAATGGCTGTCTCGATACAAAAGGTTTAGGCAAGGAAGTCGAGGGAAGCTGTTACAGGGGAGTACACCTGAAGGAGCATGGGTATGGCACTCTTGAGCTACGTCTTGTAAATCAGATCACATTTTTTGGAGCATGCTCAAGGAAACTTTCTGCAATATCATTATACAAGACATATTGTTATTGGGGATCAATTGTCTGATTCAGTGATTCAACTGATTTCATTCGTAGAAACGGAAAAAATTGCCTATTTCTTTTTAGTAAGATTCATTCTAGAAAATGATTCAGTGCTTAGTACAGTTGCCTTTTGACGGGGATCCAAGGGACTTAGCCCTCAGCCAGGAATTACTTTGTTTCTACCTTGATTTAGACATGAAGACAACACGGCCACTAACGTCTTGGGGGGAAAAAGGCCTCAGGTTCATATCCTTACAGGGATGGGCTCTATCGACAGTGGCACAAGACACAGGAAGAAGCTGGCTACTGTCCTTTAGGGATAAAAAGGAATGTGATGCGTTCGGCACCAAAATCAGCCGGAGGAAGGGCACATAGACCCACTGCTCAGCTTTACTTTGCAGTACAACATAGGCAGCATTTTAGACTGCGAGC